TTCGGTTAATTTTTTTCGGATAGATCCATGGGTGACGTACCATTTCACCAAAAATTAGAAGATTTCTCCGGTGGGAACGTTGTAAAAAATCGCCTTCGATTCACCCATGCTCCTTGGGCATCGAAGGACAAATTTGAAAATTCGTCTGAAGAAAGTCCCGGGGCTCGGCTCATCTGTAGCTGATCGCGTGGCTGTTACCGTAGGCATGTCACTCTATACCCACTAATCCTTCACCAGCAGCGAATATACGAGGCAATCAACGAAACGGCAGATCCTGAGCGCAAGGTTCCGACTTCAGCCGCAATTCTCCTTCTTCTCCATCAAGACTCCTTCCAGTTTCCCGGCAAAATATTCATTTTCTGACTAGGACTTTTCGGGGCGCGCGCGGCCGCGCTTGGCATGCTGACATGTACAAAATTCGATTACATCATAACTGCGCAAACCCTCTGCGCAGTGTGTTCGCTGATATCCCTACGGCCTATAATCAGTTCATTGGGAGGCGCTTCCCGAACGCATTTATCTGCGGAATGCGCAACCCGCGCAGCATTTCATTGCGAAGCGTTTCCCGAACACACATTGCTTCGATCTGAACCGCGTGCGAAGCCCACGCATTAGTTCTTTGCGGGGTGTTTCCCGAACGCAAATTGAACCCTAGCTCCGACTTCACGGGGATCTGCGTAACCTGCGCTGGAGTGCATTACGAGTCATTTCCCGAAAGCAATTTGCACCGAGCTTGGGATTTGCGAGGCGCTTCCCGAACGCATTTATCTGCGGAATGCGCAGCCTGCGCAGAATTTCATTGCGAGGCGTTTCCCGAACGCACATTGCTTCGATCTGAACCGCGTGCGGAGCCCACGCATTAGTTCTTTGCGGGGTGTTTCCCGAACGCAAATTGAACCCTAGCTCCGACTTCACGGCGATCTGCGTGACCTGCGCTGGAGTGCATTGCGAGTCATTTCGCGTACGCAATTTGCACCGAGCTCGGGATTAACCGCGCGCGGAACATCCGCATTAGCTCATTGCGAGGCGCTTCCCGAACGAATTTATCTGCGGAATACGCAGCCTGCGCAGAATTTCATTGCGAGGCGTTTCCCGAACGCACATTGCTTCGATCTGAGCCGCGTGCGGAGCCCACGCATTAGTTCTTTGCGGGGTGTTTCCCGAACGCAAATTGAACCCTAGCTCCGACTTCACGGCGATCTGCGTGACCTGCGCTGGAGTGCATTGCGAGTCATTTCGCGAACTCAATTTGCACCGAGCTCGGGATTAACCGCGTGCGGAATATCCGCATTAGCTCATTGCGAGGCGCTTCCCGAACGCATTTATCTACGGAATGCGCAGCCTGCGCAGAATTTCATTGCGAGGCGTTTCCCGAACGCACATTGCTTCGATCTGAACCGCGTGCGGAGCCCACGAATTAGTTCTTTGCGGGTTGTTTCCCGAACGCAAATTGAACCCTAGCTCCGACTTCACGGCGATCTGCGTGACCTGCGCTGGAGTGCATTGCGAGTCATTTCGCGAACGCAATTTTAATTTATTTGCACCGAGCTCGGGATTAACCGCGTGCGGAACATCCGCATTAGCTCATTGCGAGGCGCTTCCCGAACGCATTTATCTGCGGAATGCGCAGCCTGCGCAGAATTTCATTGCGAGGCGTTTCCCGAACGCACATTGCTTCGATCTGAACCGCGTGCGGAGCCCACGCATTAGTTCTTTGCGGGGTGTTTCCCGAACGCAAAATTTAATTGAACCCTAGCTCCGACTTCACGGCGATCTGCGTGACCTGCGCTGGAGTGCATTGCGAGGCATTTCCCGAACGCAATTTGCACAGGGCTCGGGATTAACCGCGTGCGGAACATCCGCATTAGCTCATTGCGAGGCGCTTCCCGAACGCATTTATCTGCGGAATGCGCTACCTGCGCAGCATTTCATTCCGAGGTGTTCCCGAACGCAAATTGAATTCAGACCTCCGCAGTCGATGCGCCAAGCCAGCTGAGTGGGTCTTTTTATTTTTTTCGCGCGAAAGTTTATGTGGTGAACTGTGTTGGTAAAGATGAAAATGTCAGTCAATGAAATTTGCTATAATTTCTTGTGTCTAACCAACCCTGTACGGATCGAACTGACGATTCCCGAGTGCGACAAATGTCCTGAAGTCTGCTCCTATTAGCTAGGTATCTAGAAATTTCAACTTGAGTGTCAAGTTAAGACTTTGCCAGTTGCAGACGAGGGAATTCTCGCTTCACGATTTTCCTGGTGTGTGGAGATACGTCGGAATGCCGACCCACCACACCCGACATGATGCTTCGGCCGGAATGCAGGTTGGTGCAGATAATTGCCTAATAATATATGTCTAAGCGTGTATACCTTTCCTTTCGTTGCATGCTTGGTTAATCCGACGGCACGAAATTATAGACATTTCGAAATTAACTTGAATATTAATTGGTCGTTGTATGTCTTAGTATTCCCTGTCAGTTTGTGCCTTTTTGTCGCGCTCGCCGACTGTATATGATCTAGCGACATTGGTACATGGTGGACAGTTAGTCATAACTCGTAACATTTTGTCCTTATTCTTTTTATCCATGATTACATTGGCTCGGACCATCCGAGTTTATTTATATATTTTTGATAGGACAATATGTAATGTACACACACACACACACACACACACACACACACACACACACACACACACACACACACACACACACACATACACACACCACCCACACACACCACCACACACACAGTGACACACACACCACACGCACACACCATCACATTACGACAAAATCAAGGCAATGCCGGCGAAGCTCTATAATTTTCTTGTGCCGCGTGCTAGGAGCATAATGGCATTGCCCGATAATAACACTTGGTGTAAATGGGTTCCCATGTTCACACCTTTGACCTTTGACCTTTGACGCCCATCGCCGGAGGCGATGATAGCAATGCTACGGCAGAAGCCATAGCAACTTGTGCTGGGATTACACCATTCAACAGCTTGCAAGGCTGAAGAATTGACCGTCACTATTCAGCCTGGTCTACACCATACAGCTATTTGGAGTGACATTTTCTGGCCAGTGAATCCCTTTTTTTGGTCTTTTTCATTTTTTTCATTTTTTTTCTTCTTTTTTTTTCACACACATACACACACACACACACCACACACACACGCACACACCATCACATAATCATTACGACAAAATCAAGGCAATGCTGGCGAAGCTCTATAATTTTCTTGTGCCGCGTGCTAGGAGCATAATGGCATTGCCCGATAATAACACTTGGTGTAAATGGGTTCCCATGTTCACACACACATACACACACACACACCACACACACACGCACACACCATCACATAATCATTACGACAAAATCAAGGCAATGCTGGCGAAGCTCTATAATTTTCTTGTGCCGCGTGCTAGGAGCATAATGGCATTGTCCGATAATAGCACTTGGTGTAAATGGGTTCCTATATTTCTGAAGTACATGTATTATTCGGTTGCTGGCTATCAATTGTGCTGTGAGCATGGCAGAGTGAGGTCTTCCAGCTTTGTTGGTGTTTGCTCTATCTTGTGTTTACGCTCTGCAGAAAGGATCATATGTAGTGCCTTCTCAGCATTACATTACATCCATTGCGTAGCAGCAATGTGCCATCCTTCCGCGACTTAGGTGGAATGACGTGCAAGTGGTGCTCCAGGGTCAACTTCAATTTGCCGAGCACGTATGCCGCTGGCTTGGGGTCAGCAGCTGGGTGCAAAGTCTCTGTATACAAATCGTGCACTGTCGTCAACAATATGGCATCCTTGTCCAGCAATTCCCGTCCTGTAGCGGCAATGACTATAATATTGGGGAAATCACTCTCGGCACCTTCCGTGCTGTACTGAGAGATGATGCTTCGCAATTGGTGGTCTGTGCTTGGTGCATTGTCGGCAGGGAGCATGTCAGTTTGCTTTTGGTAGCAGCGTCTACAAAATCGACTCTCGGCTGAAATCCTGACATGGTGCATGCTACGCAACACATGCTCTGCAAGGTGAAAGTTTGGTGACTTCCACCTGTGTTCTGGTGTGAGTCTCGACTTACACCAAGCACATGTTGCATGGCCCACACACTGCTGGTAATGGGTTGGGCACAGAAGCGGTTCGCACTGTTCTTTCAGACTGTGCACGCGCAGTTTGTCTGCAGGACAGTGTACGGATGCCGCTCCGCTGCAATCATGTACACTGCATGTGCTTTGGCTGACTGGTGGCTTATTTTCTTTCGCTGCTGTGCATACTTGGCGTCGTAGTGCTTTGACGCACTTCCAACAAATGCATTGGCCTGACGTGATGGATGTGCATGTGTGCAGCTTTTGCCAATTTTGCCAATCTGACAGCATTGAGTCATGTGTAAATCGCTTGTCAGATGGCACTTTGGAGCAAATGCTTCATTCTGGGCCACATGGTCGTCAAGTATGTATGCTTGTGCCAGTTGTGGCATTGCTGGGTCTTCCTGCCGCTGACATCTGTGCACACATGCATGGAAAATATACGTAAAAACACTAGTTAGAAATCACGTCACCAGAGGCATCCCCTTTTTTCGGCCAGAACATAACTTCCGCTCCAATGTCACAAAGACTTACTCTTTCGATACGTCCAGCATAGAAGCAGCGAAATGCCTGGTTAATTCGGCGGCACGAAATTATAGGTCAGGCGACGAAATTTCGACGAAAAAAGGAAAAGAGACAAACCGACGTGTAGCGACACCAAACTACAGAGTTTCGTCGTTCTTGAAGAACTCATAACAGAAAAAGGTGAAAGGCGACTACTGAATCCTCGAGTGCGACGAATAACTCCGAGAAAGCGTGAGACTGGCCAGCACGTACATACATGAAAACGATCGTATGTTGAGAATACCTTGAGAAAAGTGCCCAAAAAGGGTGCATCTGAAAAATAGAACTCTGTGTTCCGACGTGATTTTTCAAATCTGGCGCATCGACTGTCCGGTTTACTGCGAAATGCGCATCCTTTGCAGCATTTCACTGCGAGGCGTACGCATTAGTTCATTGAGCTGAGGTGTTTGCGGAACGCAATTTGAACCCGTGCTCCGCGGCAACCTGCGGTATCCCCTCGACGGTATCCCTCGTACTCATGGGTTAATGAATGGAGCTCCGCATTACTGGCGACCTGCGCAACGCGCGCATTGCGAGAATTGCGAACCCATTCCCGAACGCAAATGGAATCGCGCTTCGGCCCAACCGCGACCGTCGCAACCCGCGCAACGCGCGACGCACGAGCTCGGGTATATAAGGGCTTCACCTGCAGTCTCCTGCTCAGTTGCTTTCTTGTATCGCAAGAGGGAGTTTTGACTACGCTGGACTTTGAGGACTTGAGTGACAGTGGATCTGCTATCTTCGCGGTAAGTTCGATTCGTGTTTGTCAATGAATATTAGAATAGGTGTGCTGTCCTCGTACTCATGGGATAATCCATATACTGTCATGTACTTGTAGCGAGAATGCCATACCAGGGAGTAGGACAATACTGCTCGACCCTGTTGGAAATGTACGCAACAGTTCACACGCTCTTGACCAGGGATCGATAGCACAAACCCTGGGTTTTGATAATGATGACGGGTCTGTACGACTCCCTGCTCTTGACCTTTCGTCGATATGTACGAGGCGCATGCACAGTTTTCGTTGGGTGTGTACTGTTTCATGTAGTGCCGAATGCGGTATTAAAGTAGGACTCGCTGTCACATCAATTTTCCTTTTTGGGGTGAAGCTTTCACATCAATGCGTACCGATAATGGTTGTGCAAACACTTTCCTGTATGCGTATGCGATTACACCTTGTCTCCTCATTCTTCTTCTCCGAAGCTTTAGTTAGAGGAGAGTTGTCTTGAAAGCAAGTTGCCTAAAAGCAAGCTACATGTAGTTGTCCTGTATGTGGATCAGCACATCCAAAAGTCTTGTGAACCTTTGCAATCACGGAGAGGGATAACATTGCGAACGGAGTTGTCCAAAGTGAAACTTTTGGGCACACTTACATTGTCCTGGTCGTATTAAACAACATGATGGTTTGTTTGTTTGATTCTTCTTCCCGGTTTTACAGTCGCTGCAATTCTTCTTCTCTACTGGGACTCTTGACATCATGTCGTCGGTGACAATGGTCAGTTCCACCACCGTGGATGTTTATTGCATTTTATTTTATTCTTATTAATTTTTACTAGGGAATCCCCAACTTTTTACAGGGAAGGATGTTGATTTCAGAGATGATTTCAGAGAGGCTGTAGCTGCAAATTGAAGAATCATTCATACACAAAGTACATGTTTTTTTTTGAAAAATAGTTGGAATCCGAGCGAGAGAGCTTGGAAGCTCAGGGCTCTACGCTATGCTTTTTTTTAGCTTGTCGTGATTGAACGTCGTGAATGTTAGTATAACTGATGGAAATGTTTTTTTCAATTGATTGGCTACATCATTGTCTTGCAAAACCGTTTCAATCAGTTTGAATATGAGTTAGGCAAAAGAAATTACAGAATTTATTGGGTTTTATAAAACTTTTGCGGTTTTATAGTGTTCTACGTCGACCATGATGGCTACAATGCCCAACCATACCACAACGAACTGATCGGCTGCATCATTGCATTGCAAAAAGTCTCCATCTGTTCGAGTAACATGCCGCCAAGGTCGGCAGAGCATTCCAGACCACGCCACTACTCCCCTTATTCATGGCTCACACAGGACGGGTTAACGTGGCTCTAGTAAAATTAATAATACAAAATGCATGATGAGCTAGGCAAAAAGGCATAGCATAGGACCATGAGCGAAAAATATTTACTTTCTCTTTCCATTCGAGGGTTATACGGATATATTATACCCAGCTCATATTAACCCCCACTAATTCTTGTGATCTATAACTGGTGAATATATCTCCATATTCACTACTTTAACTTGGGGTATATACTTTGCTATATTACCCACTTAGAGGTTGTAACTTTTCAACTTCCAAGGGACTTAGAAATTTTCTCTCCAATTGAAACAGAAAAAAATTGAAGAGAAGAAAGAAATTTCAGCAGGAATCGAACCAGCAACCGTAAGATTCCCAAGCACCTATGTTGACCACCCAGCCACAAGGGTGTTGATGCAGATGTTGGTTGAAAGTTAGGTCTTAGGTCTGGAACACGCAATGCTACCTACACATAATAGTATACTATAGTATACTGGGATACTAAAATAGCTATTTCGGACCAGTATTTCAGGCCAAAAACGAAGCTAGGTATAAATAGCATAAACACCTCTGTCTTGTGTTTATGGGAATATAAACACTGTCTATAAAAACCTCGGCTACGCCTCGGTTTTTATCGCAGTGTTTATATTCCCATAAACACTACGACATCGGTGTTTATTCTATACTTATAAAAGTGACCGACTCTTTTTTATACGTATAGATTATAGACCGGTTAGGAGGTCTATACAGGATATATAGATCGAGTAAAAGACCGAGGTCCCCCGAGGTCTTTTACGAGGTCTATATATCCTGTGTAGACCAACTATGAGGTCTATAATCTATTTATCGTGTTCTCCACGCAATAGTTTCTCTTCATATACGACATATCCTTGTAATTCTAATATTATACTATAGGCTATACCGCATTGTACGGCATTGCAGGATCAAGGTCATTGTTTAAACTAAGTTCAGCATCGGTAGCACAGTGGCTGGGAGGTAAGGAAGAGTGACTGAAATTCACATGGTTGTGGGTTCGAATCCCGTCTTATGTATTTCCGCTTTCTTCAAAAATTTATTTTCTAATTTGCAGAGAAAATTTCCAAGTCCAAGAAATTCTAAGGAGTCAAATATAAGTAGTCAAATATATCGCGTATTTGACTGCTTAGCCAAATACGCGATATATTTGACCGCTTAGGTATCAGGGAAATTAGTGGGGTCAAATACTAAGAAGGCGATAAGTATAGATTATAGACCGGTTAGGAGGTCTATACAGGATATATAGACCGAGTAAAAGACCGAGGTCCCCCGAGGTCTTTTACGAGGTCTATATATCCTGTATAGACCAACTATGAGGTCTATAATCTATTTATCGTGTTCTCCACGCAATAGTTTCTCTTCATATACGACATATCCTTGTAATTCTAATTATTATACTATAGCCTATACCGCATTGTACGGCATTGCAGGATCAAGGTCATTGTTTAAACTAAGTTCAGCATCGGTAGCACAGTGGCTGGGTGGTAAGGAAGAGTGACTGAGATTCACATGGTTGTGGGTTCGAATCCCATCTTGTGTATTTCTGCTTTCTTCAAAAATTTCTTTTTCTAAGTTGGAGAGAAAATTTCTAAGTCCAAGAAGTTCTAAGGAGTCAAATATAAGTAGTCAAATATATTGTGTATTTGACTAAGCAGTCAAATACGCGATATATTTGACCGCTTAGGTATCAGGGAAATTAGTGGGGTCAAATACTAAGAAGGCGATAATGATCTTTATACCCAGCTCATATTAACCCCCACTAATTCCTGTGATCTATAACTGGTGAATATGTATAGATTATAGACCGGTTAGGAGGTCTATACAGGATATATAGACCAAGTAAAAGACCGAGGTCCCCCGAGGTCTTTTACGAGGTCTATATATCCTGTTTAGACCAACTATGAGGTCTATAATCTATTTATCGTGTTCTCCACGCAATAGTTTCTCTTCATATACGACATATCCTTGTAATTCTAGTATTATACTATAGCCTATACCGCATTGTACTGCATTGAAAGTCAAGATCATTGTTTAAACTAGGTTCAGCATCGGTAGCACAGTGGCTGGGTGGTAAGGAAGAGTGAGTGAGGTTCACAAGGTTGTGGGTTCAAATCCCATCTTGTGTATTTCTGCTTTCTTCAAAAATTTCTTTTTCTAAGTTGGAGAGAAAATTTCTAAGTCCAAGAAGTTCTAAGGAGTCAAACATAAGTAGTCAAATATATCGTGTATTTGACTAAGCAGTCAAATACGCGATATATTTGACCGCTTAGGTATCAGGGAAATTAGTGGGGTCAAATACTAAGAAGGCGATAAATCTCCATATTCACCACTTTAACTTGGGGTATATACTTTGCTATATTACCCACTTAGAGGTTGTAACTTTTCAACTTTCAAGGGACTTAGAAGTTTTCTCTCCAAATGAAAAAGAAAAAAATTGAAGAGAAGAAAGAAGTTTCAGCAGGAATCGAACCTGCAACCATAAGATTCCCAAGCACCTATGTTGACCACCCAGCCACCAGGGTGTTGATGCAGATGTTGGTTGAAAGAAAGGTCTTAGGTCTGGAACACGCAATACTACCTACACATAATAGTATACTATTGTATACTGGGATACTAAAATAGCTATTTCGGACCAGTATTTCAGGCCAAAACCGAAGCTAGGTATAAATAGAATAAACACCTCTGTCTTGTGTTTATGGGAATATAAACACTGTCTATAAAAACCTCGGCTACGCCTCGATTTTTATAGCAGTATTAACACAAAGGCACACAATGAAAACCATGGCAAATTTATTCCGTTGTGACTCCGAGTTTCATGGCTGAACCAATCATCAGACAACGATAATGGAATAGGAGGCAGCGCTGGTATATCTAAGTGGAGAGAGGTGTGATAATATGATAGCGAGAGGAGTAATCGCGTGAATGTATACAGGGACGGGCTATTTCAGAGGCAGATGCAGTAGGCGCAGGTCTAGCACTAACAAGTACTAACACGCACACACATAGTAACACCCACACACACATACACACATACACGCACACACTAACACACACATACACCCACCCACAACACCCTAACTTGCACACGGGCGCACGCACACACAGGACACCCACCCACCCACAACACCCTAACTCGCACACGCACAAACACACGCACACACGCATCTACACACACCTATAGACACATGTCCACACGTATACACAGGCATCTGCGTTCGTATGACAAATCTAAGCGCATATAGCAGTATTTATACAGTCAAATCTGTCGTAAGCGACCGCCCCTTGGTGCAAGAAAAAGCGGTCGCTTACGGCAGATGGTCTCTTACGGCAGATGTATGGTAAATTCGGCATACCAGGTATTATGCTTCCATGTACTCAAATCGACGAGAATAATGTGATTTTTAATATCATTTTTATATTGGATATTTAACGACGACCATACTCATAGTAAGCGTATGCGACACGGCAGTAGATCGACACTGCCTGGACTTGAGAGCTACAGCACAGCCTCAGAGTCAGTACACATGGTGCAGGCCAGCCGCCAGTCGATCGCACTTGCAAGACAGCGCATTTTCACACTTTGCAGTTGACAGCGCATTGGCAATTACAGTTTCGCACCTGACTGAACCTGGGTCGCGGTCGCTTACAGCAGATTTGAATGCAGGCACCGTGCATGAAATCGCGGTCGCTGGTCGCGCACAGCAGATGGTCGCTCTGGACAGATCAGTTTGTATGTGAAACCTTCGGTGCACGGAAAATCGGTCGCTAACGGGAGATGGTCGCCTACAGCAGAGGCCGCTAACGGCAGATTTGACTGTATTCCCATAAACACTACGACATCGGTGTTTATTCTATACATATTTCTCGATATACACGAGGTCCCTTGTTATAATATATTTATACCTCTCCATGCGCAAGCTCAAGAGCAAAAAGGAGTGAATATACTTTTCCTCAACTTAGAAAAAAATCGGTCAATATATGAAATATAGACCTCGTAAAAGACCTCGGGGGACCTCGGTCTTTTACTCGTTCGAAGTAGAGGTCTTTTACGAGGTCTATATTTCATATATTGACCGATTATGAGGGCAATAATAGATTTATCACAACAAAGCATACCTAAAACTGTTTTTGCTTTGCTATAGGAAGAAAGGAATACTATTGTAATAGTATAATAGTATGTACATATGCCGTTTACATTGGACATTACTTCTGTGTAAACCGAAGTTTTTAGTTGTCTCTTGTAGTATGTTCCCCAAGTTATTTGACCGAGAATCTGACAATTTGGGTTCAAATCCCAGCATTTGGCCTCAGATTTTTCTTCTTTCAGTTCTGATTTTTTTCTAAGTTGAGGAAAAAGTTCTAAGTCCTCGGGCTAAGTGGTCAATAATAGAGAGGTTTTGCATTCCGAATTTCGGAATTATTTTCGGAATGTGGCGGCAGCAGTCGAAAAAGTAGTCGAACTTTCGGAAGTGTGGTGGCGAAAGTGCATGGTTTTCCGAAAATGGATTTTCGGCTCTTTCATGTTTGGGAGGGCATATTTGAATACAAAAAAGTGTATTTTTCATGTTTGTATTTTTGCTTTCTGCTGCTCTCGATTATTTGAAAATTTTTAAACGTATGTAGTTTTGATTTTTGCTGCTCTCGCTGCTCTCGCCATGTTGACTAATCTTCTCACACTCCATCACACTCTATCTTCCTTTTGAGCCTACTGACAGTACAAGACAGTTACGTGAGTAGTTCGCCAACCTCGTCTTCAGCTGTTGGATCACTTGGTCCACCATCAGTCCGTCCTCGTCTTCGAACCGCACCCAAATTCAGTTTGACCTGTGCACATGGATTTGATCCTGCTCAGGGAGTCGTAAAATACCAGGTATTTTACGACTCCCTGCTCTCCATTTTGTTGTGCATGGCAAACCTTGGAAACGAAGTCGAATCAGATTTTCGGAATGCAAAACACTGAAAATTCCGTTTTTCGGAACGCGCTTTTTTCGGAAAAGCAGTCGAAAATCATTCCGAAATTCGGAATGCAAAACCTCTCTAATAGGGAGGTTCCGGAGTACGATTTTTCGTGCCAAAATCCGTAGAGGCGCTACGGATTTTTATACGTCGTTTTCGAGCAGTGAAATGTTCCGGAGTACGGAACTTATGTGTTTGCCGTCATTGCCTAGGTTACGATCGCAAACACGTCACATTCCCGCACCATGCCTTTTTATTTTGAAAAGTTGTACCGAAATCAAAACTTCCCGCGGAAAATCGATGTTTCTCGTACCAAATTTGTACGCGAAAAATCTTTCTGCACCCGATGACGCAAAATCTCCCTACGAAACATGGTTCGTGTGAAAGCCAGTCCACACGGATTCTCCGTGCCGAAAAATCGTATGGAGCACGCCTGGAAAAAATCCGTAGCGCCCACACGGATTTTGGCACGGAAAATCGTACCCCGGAACCTCTCTAATAAATGGTCAATATAAGCGGTCAATATATGCTGATATTTGACCGCTTACAGATCACAAGTTTCTGTCGGGGTCAATAATAAGAGAGTGATAAATACTTAGAAAATTTCATGGGAGATCTGGTATATGAGTGTGGGTGTATATGGAGTGAGGTAAAAGACACCGTCTACCACTTTGATGATGTAGGCAAAAAAGCATAGGGATGTTATAAATGGAGGTTTGCACATTGCAAACCGTAGTTAACATTCACGATACCAACAAGCCAAAGGCGCCATGGCAACCAGTAAACGAACCCGCAAATATAACAATAATTAGAATAAGAAACAGAAAAAAATCAAGTTAGTGTGACAACAAATGCAAGGTTCCCTTTCCGGTGAAAGTGCTGCAACTGAGTGTGTCATTGCTGACCAACAATTTGTTTTCCCCACCCTCCACTCCCACTGTACAAGTATTACTCGTACACATGGAGGCATGTGGGGTTGGCGGTCAATCGCCTGCCCGCAGCTTCGGGCAAACACATGACACCGGGTTGTCATCGCAAAATGCCCCCAGAGGTGGCCGGGCACCGGGTTGCCCAGGGTGACCACGGCCCACGACTTCAAAATGTTTCTCACCTTATCACTATTCCCTTGTTCCCTGATCAATGCCTTGGAACAGTATCACTTTGCTCTCGGATGTTTCAAAATTTGATTCGAATGATTAATAAATTTCGGGCACATGAAACCCCTCCAAAAAATACCAACCGTGATCCGTTGTTGTGTGGAGTGAATGTTGAATGTTTCGTTTCCCATATTTTTGTTCAAGACATAACCTAGAATTATAATCCGCACTATCGCCCTGCATGCATTCTCCCTACACACTTAAAGTTGCCCTGCATGCATTCCCGGGACACACTAGGCATTCATATTCATTCTTCCAAGTTGCTTCATGTTATGATCTTGCATTTGAAAGCCCTATTTGAATATTGTGGGCAGCTGTCTTTGATGGTACGATACGGTACGGGACAGGTACCGGATAGCGCCAGGCATGCAGGAAGCACAAACAAACAAACACGGAATTAAAGCTGTGTGGACCCTGGCTAGCGCCAGACTTCACTGAAGTAACGTCTTTTGCATAGCTACGGGAATAAATCAAATTACTCGTTCATACATTGTAAACAGTTTCCTCTGAGACAAAAATGCGATAATACTCATAAAAAGAACACATTGTACATGCATTTACCACAGAAACGTGGATTTTCAGAGCAGCAAGCAGCATACGGATGTGCAGACTGTGTGGGGAACATCAATGTTGAACACGAGAATAGAGTACAGTCCATTTCAAAACTATAGACGCCTAGGGTTTTGAAATATTTCAAATTTGGCTGGAACTTTTTGAGGAAAGTTTTTGGAATATTGCTCAGGTCCGCTCCACAATTACTCTCATGTAAATTCTGAACGATCGGATAACAGACACCCAATTTGGAAAAATTTATGCACAAAGTGATCACAGATTTTATGTGGTATAGATGCTGGCATAACGGTTTTTGCCTAGGTACGCGTCTTTAGTTTTGAAATGGACTGTAGGCAGTTCCCAAATCGGCCGAAAACAATGGTTTCGAAGAAATCTCCAATCTTTTCGCCGGATGCGCAATTTTCGCACTGAATTCGCCGAAAATCGATACTTAATTGCCTCTACAGCATGCAGATAAGATTTCTGTAGCCATTATCTGCGAAAGGTGACAAGTATCGCTTCGAGCCAAATTCTGACTTTGGGATATGGCCGAATTTAACCCTGCTATAAATGTGTTGTTTTCGAAGACTGGTGTATTGTGCAAGTCATAAAGAAGAAATTGGGCAGATACATGACTTACAATTTTTCAAAAACCAGCTTCGTGTGATGTGTAATTTGTGTCAAAATTGTAGTATTTAGACATGACAATATCACTGGCTGTACTTGTCTTATATGGTAATGAACCCCCGCTATAAATGTGTTATTTAGGCAGATTGGTGTATTGTGCAAGTCATAAAGAAGAAATGGGGAAGATACACGACTTACAAATTTCAAAAACCAGCTTCGTGTTATGTGCAATTTGGGTCAATTTTTAGTAAATGTATTCGGATTCAGACTGGCCATGGAACCTCGTGGCAGGCGATCACGGCCCTTGCAGAGCTCAAGGTACGCGGTGACAATCCTCCAGCGATCCGACGTTTTCACATCTGCACATTTCTTTCGCGGTGTAGGTGCGTGCGTCCGCTTGCTACTTGGTGTAGCTAAACCCGCCATGCGCGATGCTACTCGCGGCAATCATGGTGGTTTTTTCTTAGAAGACTTCTCTGATCTTGCCATCACAACTTCAAACACAAAAGTGAGTCAGAAAAAGCGATCTGACTGGCTTTTGCCTGACAAAAAGTGCGTGGGAGATAAGCCATAATTGCGATGAGCCAGACCTAGTAAGTGAGACGTGCGGCTTCTATTCCAAGTGCAGGGTCTGTCTTTCGCTACAAAAATCTGGGTGCGTCTATAGAGAAGTGCAGGGTCTCTCTTTCGCTACAAAAATCTGGGTGCGTCTATAGAGAAGTTCAGCACCACGTAAAGTTTAGGTACTTACGAAAAATTGTCAGTGCGTAGATATAACAGGGCTCTGATAATGGAGGTGCTCCGTGAGTGGATTGGGGTTCAAATTTATGACTCTCTCCACAGGTCGACTCGGTTTGGAATCTGCCATGCTCTGAGCTGGCATGGGCAGCTACATATGCGTGCTTCTAAAACTCTGTATGGTGGAACACAGCTCCGCACTCAGTGTACGTAAGACTTTCCGTAGATTGACTACGTTTTTACTAACGTAATAACGTTATGCGGAACATCTCTATATGCGCAAAGAAGTTCGGTCGGTGTACGTAAATATCCATGTGTGACTATCCATTTCTTGTTGCTACAGATATCACTCGCTATCGTAGCTGTTCTCTTGCCGACATGCATCTTGACCGACAACCTGAGATTTGTGCCAGTTAAATGTATGTGACGTGAATGCGGGGTTTGTGATACTCTCTGTTGTTATATTTAAAGACTGTCCACCCACCCACAGATCCATTTAATCGACCACCCTGCCATCGGATGTGCATACTTCAATGTCCATGTACTAGTATTCCACAGTTCTATCAGCTGAACCCTTTAACCATTTCATCCATTGAAACGCCAAACGAAATTTCAACTTTCCAAGGTCATAACTTTAGTTGTACTCACTCGATTTTTATAATCTTGGGCTCGTTGGAAACCTCTGGATGAGACCAGCACAATGATACCACATTCTTCGCCTCAGCAGTCACACAACCAGCGCTGGATCGCAGCGACGTCGTCTCAACGCCAGGCATGGAAATGACAAGTTCAAAACTCCGCCATGGCCGTCTCCTTCATCGTAGAGTGATCCATTGTTTTTGAGAGTTAGAGCATTTCGTGAGGAATACGTTGGTCGCGTGCAACAGTCACAGAGCGCGTGAAGAAATGGGGAAATCCCGTGACGACGTCAGTCGCGCGCCCAGTGCAGCGGAAGTGACAAGCGTGCAGTACTCAGCGCTTGATAACTCTGCTCCATTACATCGTAGCTCAACGCGGATTTCTGCAACAGAAAGCCTGGAAAATTTTCTATCGTGCGTAAAAAATCATTCCAGTGCGAGTATTTCAAAGGATGGGTCGAATTCGACCCACAAATGTATGGTCTGACGGTGAAAGGGTTAAGGTCCACAGTATACAGTAGGAACAGTACATACCCTTCGAGAATGGGCAACAAGAACTTCACATCACGTGATGAACCCGTAAACATTACTTGCACTCTGTGCATGATAGATACAGGGCTGTACGCAACCCAGCTTTGACTTCAACTCTCTTGTGGTTAGCCCTTTCCCAAAGATGCTTGCCACTTTTTTTTGCAAGTTTTGGTTGTGTTAGAAGAGTTCGCAACTTTCGCAACTGTTGCGAAACCACAAGTTCTGAAGAGTGAAAGGCCATCTCGCTTGTGACATTGTGTTCGTTTCAATGCAGTTGTATCCCGACTCCGCCGTACCGCTGATGTTTACGACGTGGTATACGCTACAGGCACTATGTGCTGTTTGCTGTGTGCGCTGTACCGTAAAAGCCCGTGCATAAGCCCTGGGCGTATAGAATAGCAGCCTCGATTTCCTGGGCGTACACAAGGGCACGGGCGTTATTTTGGAACCGGGCGTATGCTGCGAATAGGGATAGCAGTAAGTATTGGGTATCAGTACCTGTACATGTACTGGTGTTGCCGGCATACCTGGGCGTATACATGGGCATGGGCGCTATTTTGAAACAAAAGTGTTGACTTCCCCTGACTGGGTGTGTACACGGAGGGTGGGCGTAATTTCAAGTGGGCGTATACAGGGGCTTTTACGGTAGTTGTACGTTGTATGTGTATGCTTTTCTCATATGCACTGTCATTTTCACGCTATAACTACTTGGTGGTTTTAGTGTGAGTTTTTAATTAGTTAGATTCAATGGATTTATTACGTTATTACCATTTGTACGTGGAAACCTTATATAATAGCAGTTTGGTCTATATTTTATTAACTCAACATCTACCTTCACTGATGAGCTATGTTTTAGCGAAACAGCTTTCTGAAGGAGTTTATCAATATCGACTACGGAAATGTCCTAGCAATGATGGTTGTGTGCAGGAGGGTCTAGTCCGCTAAAGAGCGCAGTGTAATGATGGAGGTGACTCAACAGATTCAATGGAAGTCAAAATATACTGTTGAGAATAAAATAGTTGTCCTCGTGCCGTGTGGTCGTTCATTCCTGATACTTAAGAGAGCATGTCTGAGAAAACCAGAACATATGTGCAAGTCGATCTCTCAGATTTCGCTCAAATTTTGCAGGTAGGTTTGCTTTGGGGTGTAGATCGACATTCCAAAGCCCGCACAAAATCTTTTGAAGGGAACCATGAAATTGGCATACCCCTCAATATTGGCCCATTATTGGCACGATTTATGGGTCTACAAACGAGCCACGGCACAGCGTACAAGAACAAGCTACGAACAAAACTCCATCAAGCCATCATTACCTCACCTTAGAAGAGTTCTTGGGGCAGCACCACTTAGCCACGCCAGCATCCCAGAAGACGAGGGAAATCATCCATTGACGCCACAAATGATCGTCTTGAAAATAGCCAAATTACAAGCGCTGATAAAACAGCGAGCTACGTCCTCAATTAGCAAATACTATACACCGGCAGATAGTAGAACACCTCTTCTAGCACTGAGGACATGTCCTCATCATGTTTTTGGGGTTTTCTTGAAATAAACAATTTTGAATTTTTCCATTCGACCATTCTGAAATACGTCCAAACTCATACCTGCGCAGAAAAGCTCGCCCCTCCGCGACGTCTAGTCAGCAATTTCTACTCCAACACCACTCCCAACGTTGCAGAACAAAGTGTATTGTTGACTCTGACAAGGACAAGCAGTGGTGATCACTTGTCACTCCAAACGACAAGCTTCTCCTTGCGCCACCAACATTTTTCGTTGCAACAGTTGATGGAAAAGTGACTGAATTTTTGCGTGTAGTTTTTGGATTTTACTGCAAGAGGAATGATGAAATCACGTGCCTCGTGACACAAGAATGCCAGGTCTCGTAGATCACGGTTCAGCAGTTGTTCCGAGTCACCTTGATCAAGCGCTCCTGCACTTACGTGGATCAGCCGTTGATCTAGATCGGATCAAGTGCATCTTGATGTCCAGTTCAAGAGCACGCATGTCGTGTTGTAGGCCTACCAGCTGGGACTTTCCCTCAACATGCAGCACAGTGTAGGGCGAGTAGGGTCAAATCACGTTGTTCATGACGTAAGATATCTGCCATGTGCATGTGGGCGCGCGCCACATACTTCATGCAACCAGTGTTGGCCGCGCGCTGGTCAACTCCATGATCCAAGCGACCTTGATCGATGGCATGGACCACGCTCATTCCTTGCTGTTGCAGATCTACGTGGATCATCAGCATGTAAACCAGCCGTAGTTCCTGTTGAACCATGTTCGGGATGAGCGAGGTTAGTATGAAAAAATGCATCCCTTGCTTACTGCAAGAGGAAATATCTCCAAGAATTCTTGCCAATGCAATACTGCTAGCGTTATAACGATAGTTTCTGCATGTTCTGAGCAGAGCATGCAAGAAATATAATGCATCTTACCTCCTCCCTCATGGTCCGTTTTGAATAGCGCCTCAGGAACGATCGTGATCGTGTGCATTGTGTCGTGTACCAGAAAGCATTATTCTACGTCACGATCCACGTGATTTCTTCATTCCTCTTGCAGTAAAATCCAAAAACTACACGCAAAAATTCAGTCACTTTTGCATCAACTGTTGCAACGAAAAATGTTGGTGGCGCAATGAGAAGCTTGTCGTTTGGAGTGACAAGTGATCACCACTGCTTTTCCTTGTCAGAGTCAACAATACACTTTGTTCTGCAGCGTTGGGAGTGGTGTTGGAGTAGAAATTGCTGACTAGACGTCGCGGAGGGGCGATCTTTCCTGCGCAGGTATGAGTTTGGACGTATTTTAGAATGGGCGAGTAGAAAAATTCAAAATTGTTTATTTCAAGAAAACCCCAAAAGGATGATGGGGGACATGTCCTCAGTGCTAGAAGAGGTGTTCTACTATCTGCCGGTGTATAGTGTTTGCTAATTGAGGACGTAGCTCGCTGTTTTATCAGCGCTTGTAATTTGGCTATTTTTAAGACGATCATTTGTGGCGTCAAGGGATGATTGCCCTCGTCTTCAGGGATGCTGGCGTGGCTAAGTAGTGCTGCCCCAAGAACTCTTCTAAGGTGAGGTAATGATGGCTTGATGGAGTTTTGTTCGTAGCTTGTTCTTGCACGCTGTGCCGCGGCTCGTTTGTTGACCCATAAATCATGCCAATATTGGGCCAATATTGAGGGGTATACCAATTTCATGGTTCCCTTCAAAAGATGTTGTGCGGGCTTTGGAATGTCGATCTACACCCCAAAGCAAACCTACCTGCAAAATTTGAGCGAAATCTGAGAGATCGACTTGCACATATGTTCTGGTTTTCTCAGACATGCTCTCTTAAGAGAACCAGAGGGTTCACAACATTTGGCGATCACGCCAGGATACGAAGCGAGCATTGCACAGGAACTCTGGATCATTGAAGAGAGAATTAGTCGTTAAAGCGTTAGACTTTGTGACTCGTTAGAAATATTACCAGTCAGTATAATTTATTGTAATAACTCTTTATGAAACTCGGATGTTGAGCCGATGATATAAAGAAAAAGGAAGGGAGCATATGGATCCGAGTTAAGAGCAACCACCCTCCACTGTCACTACTGTTAAACCAGAAAGTCACAAAGTCTAACGTTTTAACGACCAATTCTTTTTTGTTATGAGTTCTGCAGTCCATTCAGGAAAGGTTGAGCGCTGGCTCTGGAGAGTTCCCGTTTTTGGCGATTTTGTGGTACACTGTTCAGTGCGGCGCGATTCGAGACTTGAAAAAGGGTCCAAAAGGCACCTCAACTGGGGTTCGAACCGAAATGTACTGTTATGCAAGTTGAGTGAACGGCCTGGATTTTCATGGTTTTTACCCAATTCAGTGCTTTGGGGGCAAAACCTGGCCGAAATCCTATTCTTGTTATGGCTTGCTTTTTCGAGAAATAGACTTCAAAAACACAATTGGAAGAGCATTCCATCGGGGATTGCCGAGAAAAGGAGATGAAAACTCAAAATTTGACCCATTTATGGCCAAAAACTAGGATAACATCTTTTTTTTCTGAATGGACTGGTAATATTTCTGTGAGCTCTAGAGATGTTCAAGAGCTCAGTCTCGTGTCCAATGAATTATAACTGAATAGTCTGTAATACCCTATGTGTCTGCACATCTGCGTACTTTGATCTTTACAGCTTACCATAGTAAGTGCACGACGCCTGGATGGGACTTGGATCCTATTGCTTCTAACTGTAAAGGTAAGTGCTGTTGTCCGGAGGATGTTTGTTATGTTTCTAACCAAAGGCATTCGACAGCACGACCAGATTTGAGCTTACTTGTTGTCAAACTGACTTACAACAAACACATACTATCAAATGATGCAAAAGATCTCAAAAATTGATAAAGCAACTGCAGAGCTCAAACGTAGTCGAAAATTGAGTGTTGAGTGGTCTTTGTATACTGTAAAAGTAGACATTTTGGAATTGTTTTATTTGTTGTTTTGTTTAGCTCTATTTTACTTCACCAGAAGCACAGGCAAAATCTGCCTTCTCACTGTGCGTTCTGCCACAGTTCTCGCAAAATGATGAAGCTAGTGATAATGATAAGGAAAGGAGGAAGAGGAAAATTCAATCATGAACAAAGCACAAAGAGAAGACGGAAACAAATCAATGAGGGAGTACTACATTTGAATTTTACGAGGCGTTTCATGAAAATGGTCCAAAGGTTCCAGGGATGAAGGAATGTTGACAGTTATGAGTCTTTGAGATCTTAGCTCCCGAAAATCAGTAAACCGAGTACCAGGAATGATAAGACAGCGGGCGTCAGAAGGGACCAGTGCAAACTGAAGAAAACCATCGAAACCCATCCTCTTTGCTTCCAATGTAAACGTCTCACTTAGTCGGCTGAGGGATAATCATCTCTTTATTAGTAAAGAAGCAGTTTATACAGTAATTAGACTCAACTCGTAAAAACTCCAAGTCAATCTCCCATTGACACAAACCTTGTTTATTCAACATAATCATATCCTATCCAATAAAAACAGTTCATAAAAACAGTTCATAAAAACAGCTTTTTAGGATCGGACCCAGTCCGCATAACCAAGAGAACTAGCTCCCTTGGCTGCCGTTGGAATATGCAAGAATGGGCCTTCCAGATAAGGTCTAACAAGGAGAAGTGGCTATAGTTATGAAATGAACACCGGTAACCATGGAGACAGACCACACTCTCATTATAGATACTGGTGTTGAATACGAGAAAGGACGACTGACGACACATTATCCAGACATTACAAAGGGAACAGGTAGGTTGGTGGAACGACATTTATTGGAGACGGGACAAGAGACCAAGCCGAACGAAACGACTACATGGTAATTATTGAAGAGTGAGAAAGAGAGCAAGTCTGAACGGCAAGATAAAGGGCCTGGGTAGCTATGGCAAATATGGGCGTGCAAGTAGCTATCCAGGCCAACAGAACAAAAGGAGACAAAAGGTGAGTACGCAAGTGCATGCAGGCCAGCTAGAAAAGGTACGGGAGGAGGTACCTAACACTGGTTATAAATAGACCGAATAAGGAAAATGAGTTGATAGCCTATGAAGAGTAAAAGAAATTGAACCAATGACAACAATTACTCGTCCAGCACACGAGTTGTGATAGCAACACAAATAACAGCTGTCCACTAATTTTGTTGTTGGAGATTGAGTAGGAGTTTTTACTGGTTGATTCTGTATACAATAAATGCTCCGGCCTTGGGTGTATGACCAATAAAAAATAATTATAAAAACCGAGGTCCCCCTCGGTTTTTATAATTATTTTTTTCTGTCTATTCTTGTGATTAGCTCATCATAACTCATTTATTGTATACGTAGACTAACAGGTGCCAAGGTTAGCCGTGAACAGTAAGTGCTAGAAGTTGCACAAGGTGAAGCAAATGATAGGCGCATCCAAGCTGTGCAGTGATAGGCGCGTACATAGGTGTGCAGTGATAGGCGCGTACATAGGTGTGCAGTGATAGGAAGGCAGAAGAAGGCGTAGCGGTTACACATTGTGAATTTGTCTGACTCAATCTGACCACAAGTGAATTGCATCCACCTGGAAAGGCAATTCTTTTGTCAGGAAATTCACGATGAGTGGACCGATGAGCATACCTGAGTTATGGACATTTATGTGTTTTGCGTTTTAGACGCTAGATTTGTCGGATGTAGGCGGCCGTAGTGAGTTCCCTCAATAACGACACATTGATTTACCTTATGTGTGTTGTCAGTAGAAATCACTCGTTTTGCTTGTCTTTGGTGCCCTGGCCGTCGTGAAGCTGTTACAAAAGGGTCTGAGGTGGCCTTGTGAGCTATATATCTGTTGTATCATTATTACCACGTTATGGGCACAAGGGTGGCATTGTAATCATGAAACGGTGGCATCTGCTCTCAAATAGCGAGAGTTGGCTTAATTGTGCCCAGGGAGCTTCCCCTGGCGCTCATCTGCTGCAATCTTTGCCAAACCAATCAAAAATATCTCCCGACGCCTATCCCCACTTCCAAACTGCAACTTCTGTTTCTTTTTCCTCTGTTTGGCTCAGATGTGAATGAGTGTGTCAGGTATCCGGGCATCTGTAGTCGGAGAAAAACGAATCATCCCTATCCACTGTATTGCGTAAACACCATACCTGGCTATTATTGCGGGTTGCCAAGAGCGAGCGAGGGCTGTAAGTGACAGGGATTTAAAATACAGATATAATAATGTATAAACTCAATCTGTACACAAAGTGTCTGCGAAAATCGGAGTAACGAAGAAAGCTTTTTGGCCTCTGTTGTCCTGCCTTGTGTACTAAATATGCATATGTTCCCAATCTGTATATATGATGGACGCAGCAGCAGGCCTGTTCCTATAGCGGGTCGGTTTGGGTGTTCTCCCTATAGCGGGTCGGTTTGAGTCGCATATATGGACAGCTCAGAGTGCAGTGCAAGAGGTGCATATCGTATGCCTTATAGACACAAAAATAATAGCTAGCTCAGAGTACACAGCATCATGTACACTCTGTGCTGAAAATAAGCAAAAAAGCTGATGTAGAAGGTCAACTAACGGATAACTGAAGATCAGAGGATCAACTAAAGGTTATGGTTACGCAATGCATATCAGAATATTCCCGTAATCTAAGCAATAAATGCCGTTGCGCTCCACGTGCAGTGCAGAATCTACACATGTACAGAGTAAACACGCATGCGTGTATTTAGGAAGGAGATAAAACACCTACTGTTTCGAAACAAGGAGTTACTTCGTTTGGTTTCTGGAGGCCGTGGAAGTTGACCGTCCTTCTCGGTCTCGTGCCTCGATGGATGCCTGGGTTGGTCCGTTCCTGACATGACTACCAGCAAAGGAGCCGACTGGCGAGTCGTCGGTGTCGACAATGTCGTACAAGCGGAAGAAATTCTCTCGACGCAAAGCAGCTACGCTCCCCCTATGCCACTGCGTCATCAGTGCCGCTGTGCCGGCTGCTCCGCCTAGGTTTACAGCTTGTAGTAAACGACGTCTCCTAAAGCATGCTCAAATGGAAATTCCTCTGGCGTCCATGCGAGCTCGAGCGGGTATGCTGCTCCTGTCTCTGGTGCTGTCGGCTGTGGCTCCTGCTGGCCTAAAGGAACGTCCTCATCGTCGACCTCATCATCGTCATTTGCTTCATCGGCTAAGTTCAGGTTTCCCTGACACTGGAGAAAGTCCTTCTCGTCTGTGGTCAGATTGCAGCGCTCCTGCTCGCGAAACAAGGAAAAGTTTGGCCTCTGCAAATACATCTCGTACGGAGTTTTCCCGTGTAGGCTTCTGTGGACGCGGTTGTTGTAGCTGTTGTAAAACTGCGGCAGACGATCAGGCCAATTTTTTATCTTCCAGCAGGTCACGTCTTAGGAATTGCGCCAGTGTCTGGTTGAAGCGCTCTACCCGGCCTTGACTTTGTGGGTGATACGGTCGGCCGTTGATCTTCTGTGCCCGCATCTCGTTCATGAGTGCCGACAAATCACCATTGTTGAATTCTTTCCCGTTGTCCGTTTGGAGAATTCTTGGAGGTCCGTACAAATACATCGCAGAAAGGATCACGCGGCACACTTCCTTCGCAGTTTAGGCTCTGATGGCACCACCCATCGCGAATTTGCTGTGACAGTCCACAATATTACAGACGTATTGGAAGCCTCGACTCGCTGGGAGCTTTTTCAAGTCCATTTGCCAGCGGCTGTTCGGGTAAGTGGCCTTTATTGTTCTTCGTACCAAAGTTGTCTTGGGCAAAGGATTCTGTCGGGCACAGTGCTCACATTCGAGTGTTTGGTGCAACAGCTGCAGGACTGTCTCTCGGATGATAGGATAATACGAACACCGTAAGGATTCGTATATCGTCTCGAGTCCCCGATGATCAATACTATGTTCTTCTGCAATCTTGCTGATCAATTCCTCCCTTGAGATGCATTTCCTGTGCGCAACGTTTAGCTCGTTTGACTTGTAATAGAGTGCGCCATCCTCGCAGAAGAATCTCTCAATAATTTTCTTGATACGTTGTTCATTAAGACTTCCATAGTTTCCATCTTCTACCAGCTGTTTCATTAGCCTCGCTGCTCCCCACGCTTTGTTTAGAGCTCTTGCCTTGAAAACTAGTATACACTCATCTAGGCCTGCCCAAAACGTTTCTGCATTTCGATCTTTTGTCTTTGATTTTACCCAGCTCGTTTTCCCTACTGCAATTCCACTGCCCTCCGCCTCCATCATGCTCTCCCCCTATTCTTCCATATCCATCTTCAGTATAATACATTAATAGTAATAGTAGTCTTGGTATAACCCATCCCTCATCTCTTTCACAAGATCAATAGTTCCTTCCGTTGCCTGTTTTCGTGTGAGTACGAAATTGAGTCCCGGGGTCATGGGGTCAATGAGGATTTCCTGGTTCTTCCATTTCTGTTATACAAGGTCATGGACCCCTTGCACTCAGAGGACCCAGTCAAGACGTCATGTGTGCACTTGCATGACTTCCTTTTTTGGTCAAACCCGCCCTGCTATAGGGAGCCGACCCGTTATAGGGGCCTACCTGTTATAGGGACCCACATATATTATATACATAGAGTAAGATCTGGTTCCACACAGCTGCGGAGAGGGTGCTCAATGTCAAAAAGATAGAGCAATCTGCCCGACTCTGGAAATTCAAATCCGATGATGATCGCACTTTAGGCAGTGTAGACCAGCGTCGCTACTCAACAGACGAGAAACATTGAGTTTCACACTCAAACCATTGGCTCCACCATTCCGTCCTGCACCGACAACCACGCACACAACTTCACACGCAAATGCTGATCTATTCCCGGGTAGATTGCTAAATCCCGAAGTGAAAACGTTCCAGCCCCTGCCATTACCGGCTACGAGTCACCCATTTGTCTGCTTTAACGCTAGATCAATATGTAACAAGGTCGCGGAACAAACTGACTTCTGCTCGACGTGGGACCCGCTGTTCATTTCTATTATTGAGACATGGCTGCACGGAGCTCAAATTTTCTCTATCCCAGGATACGACTGTTATCGAAGAGACAGGCCTACATGTACAGCCGAAAAAAAAACAGGTCTGAACTTTTGGCGTATGGTGGAGTTGCTCTTCTCGTGAAGTCTGGTGTATTCACTTCTGTTGTACATCGTTCGGACCTTCACGCTCCAAATTTCGAAGCGACGTTTGTAGAGATTGAGTTTCCGCTGAAGGGTACCGGAACACAGACATTTGGATCCGGGGAGTCCCTGCTAATTGGATCCCTCTACCGCCCACCCTCGAACACGGCTGCCGCCATTGATACATTTTGTAACTCTCTCTAACGCTGTCTGACTGCTGTCAAAGCTACAACATCTGCAGTAGTGTTGATGGGGGATTTCAACGCTAGGTGTTCACACTGGGAGGGGGATATTACCGACACAGCAGGTCTCCAATTGCGATGTTTGCTTAAGATGTTTTCTTTGGAGCAATTGGTAAACTTCCCCACTCACGAGTCTGCCTCGGGCCCTGGAGCGGCTCTGGATCTTGTAATAACCGATATTCCCCACGCCATTGACGACCTCCATGCTGAAGCACCTAAGGGCCAATCTGACCACTATTTTGTTGTTGGTAAAATTAAAATGTCACAGTCCCCGCGGTCTCCTGTCTCTGAGCAGAAACAGCTTCCACATCGAAGTCACCTTGCTTCATTGAACATCTCATCCGTGCTGAATGAAACGGCAGTTGCGCTCTATGAGCGTCTATTCCATCTTGACTGGGAGGCTGTGCTCCAACTACATCTGGGTGATCCATCCCTATCTGGAGATATGCTGTACGACACTTTGGAGGAGATACTGCAGTCCTATCTAGAGCGACGCAAATCGACAATCCGATGCACACCCTCGAAATCTGCCCGACCACTTTGGCTAACACAAGCATGAAGAGAACAAATCAAACGGGAGCATGACTCGTACAGTGTGTACAGGAAGTTTCAAACCCCTAAATATCAAGCTGTGTATAAGGCGGAACGGAATACGACCCGTAACCTCTCGCGGCTGGAGTACCGCAGATTTCTCCGCACTCTCAATTCATTCTCCCAAAAGGCCCAAACACCATTTCCGAATCTACACAATTTTATCCGAAGTTTGCGGTCGGACTCCACCGGAAAACCCACTGTATCACGCCTCACCGTCCGTGGAGCTGACATCAAATCACCTGACGACATTGCAAATGCCCTAAATAAGCAGTTCATTGCATTTGGTACTCCGGAAAACCCTCAGTGGACGCTCCCGCCTTTGCAGGACGCCTCGACTGCGCCGCCGCTCACCTCTATCTTCACCACGCCCTATGCCGTGCATAAATACATCAAGCGTCTAAAGCTCCGGAAAGCTACGGTACCTGATGGAGTTACACACGAGCTGCTGAAATTGATTGGCCCGTCGATATCGCTTTCTTTGAGTGTGCTATTCAATCTTTCTTTCTCCACCGGTATTTTCCAACTACCTGGAAAGCTGCTGTCGTCATCCCGCTGTACAAAAACAAAGGCGCAAGAACGGATCCTACGAACTATCGTCCCATATCCCTTCTCTCAACGATATTAAAGCTGTGTGAGCGAATAATGTATGACAAGTTATATGCACATGTAGATCCATATCTCCATCAATCACAGTCCGGATTCCGTCGAGGTGATTCAACAGCCTGGCAGCTACTTCGAGTTGTTCAATCCCTGCATGACAATCGCCATCGCAGCGAGTACAGCCTAGTCTGCTTCTTCGATTTATTTAAAGCCTTTGATACTGTGTGGCACCGTGGGCTGATGGCTAAGATAGCATCATTCTCGATTCAAGGACGCATACTGCGGTGGCTGGAGAGTTACCTTTTTTGTCTTTCATAGCAAGTAAATATCAACACCTCACTATATGCGGACGACACCACTCTGCTGGCTAGTCACCGGTCGCTCCACGTCGAGTGTCAAGACCTGCAGGTAGGAATAGACTGTGTGGTCAAGTGGGCGCGAAGGTGGAAACTCCGGCCGAACTCCGCCAAGACCGAGATCATGTGTGTCGTCCCCAACGCGTCATCAGATGTTGCACATCTTCAAACTTTTATTTTCCATTTCCCCGATGATCCTACCCCGATACCTATAACCTCTCGTCACAAGCACCTTGGCGTTACACTTGATAGCAAATTGGACTGGTCCCACCATTTCCAGA